ACTTGTACTTGTCGGGGGTGCAGTAGTCGCAGCCGTCGGTGGGGCACGTGAGCAGGACGTTGCTGTGCTTCTGAATGACGTGGCGCTTCAGGCAGTTCTTGGTGATGGAGGAATAGCGGCACTGGGAGCAGTAGTACAGGTGTTCACGCGTGTGCGTGCGCACATGCATGTCGAAGTGCACCTGGTACCAAAAGAGTTTGCCTAAAAAGATAGTGCCACATGAGAACAAGGACGTTTCTCTTCCAATGAGTTTGATTTTTGTCTTCTCTCATATACATATTAGACGACGCAGTCTAACCCTCTCTGCTGGCCCTAGTCACCGTCACCTGGTCTACTGGGGGGGATGACTATGGCTCCTTGGGTGGGAGGTTGGGGAGGCAAGGAGCCAGGACAGGATGAGGGCCGATCACTGCGCCTAGGGGCTTCCCCGCACGCGCAGTCAGTCTCCAGGTCCGCGGCCCGGCCCTGGTCCAGCCCCGCTGGAGACACAGAAGCCGCCTGGCCTGTGATGCTAGAATTATGATCAGGGCACCCCTCTGCTCCCCTGGGGCCGGGCCACTACCACCGCTCAGCTGGACCTGCTTGTCTTGGCTGAGGCACTAAGGTGGTGAGGACACGGCTGGTGCCCGCCTGACTATGCCAATGTGCTCCACCAAACTATCCATGAGGTGGCCTCCGAGAAGACCTGAGCTGCAGCCCAGGCGGGCACCCATTCCCGTCTCCACCTCAGCAGGTGTCTGGGCTCGGACTTCCCCTGGGTTCCCTGCGTAGCACCCACTGCCTGCCCTGCCCCCTTACCGCAGTACTCGCACTCCAGGTCCCCGTACACCTTCCGGATGCGCTCACACAGGCCCGTGGTCATGGGCTTCTTCTGCAGGCTGTTCAGGATCTTCATGAAGGGGGTGATGTCACTCGAGGGCTCTGAGGCGGGCTGGCAGGTGTCCGGCTGGCATGGGACTCCATCCCCACAGCCTGCCACCGGAGGGGGTTGTCCGGAGGCCTCCGCCGGACCCGGCCGGTCATCAGGGCCCAGGGCGGCTGTGTCCTGACCTGGGCACAGAGGGCTCTCTGTGACCTGAGGCTCCTGGGGAGGGCTGGCACCTTTCTCTCCAGCCGGGGACAGTGCCACCCCGGGGTCCTGAGTCGGGGCTGGAGCTGCGGGCTGGGGCTGCCCGGGGTTTTCAGGCACGGTGTGAGTCTCGGTGGGGGCAAGGGCGCCACTATTCTGCAGAAAGCCAGGGGAAACCAGCGTGGGCGCAGGAAGGCTGGCAGGCTCCACCGGGGTGCCCAGCGTGCCTGGGTCCACTGCCACTTCCCCCGGGGCCTCCTGGGGATGGGTGTCCATGGGGCAAGCCGCCTCCTTGGGGGCGTTCACCCCCTGCAGCACCACCTCCTCCTCGGCCAGCTGCAGCTGGTCACCCAGAGCCTCCTGGGGGACGTCCCCACCGGGCTCCAGCAGGCAGAAGCTCTGGTTAATGGAATTGTGGAAGGCGGTGGCCTCAGGGGCCGAGCCGTGCACCTCGCGGAGGTGGGCACGGAGCCGCACGGAGCTGACGAATTTCTTGGGGCACAGTGCGCAGACATAGACGAAGGGGTGCTTGCGGACATGCAGCTCCAGTGCCTGGTACTTGGTGGCACCGTGGCCGCAGAGCTCACAGGCGAAGGGCCACTGGTCACCATGCACCAGCATGTGGCGGTCACGGTCCAGCTCGTTCTTGAACTTGCGCTCGCAGATGTGGCAGTCGTAGAGCAGCTGCCGCTTGCCCTCCCTGGTCATCAGGCAGAGCTTATCCAGTGCCTCCTGGACCTTGCGGTCCTGCGAGTCGTGGGCGTCGCGCATGTGCTTGATGAGGTTCTTCACGTCCGAGTACTTCTTCTTGCAGAAGCGGCAGTGCTGCTTGATCTTCTTGTGCACGCGCTCCACGTGCACCTTGAGGTGGCCCTTGCTTAGGCAGGTGAAGGCACAGTGGTCGCAGGAGAACTTTTCGCCAGTGTGCTTGCGCAGGTGCACGTTGAGGTTGGCCTTGATGGCGCTGGCGTAGCTGCAGTGCGAGCAGGCATAAGGCTTCTCCTTGGTGTGGATGCGTAGGTGCGCCTGCAGCGAGTGCTTGAACTTGAAGACCTTGTTGCAGTACTCGCACGTGAAGATCTTGAGCTGCGTGGGGCCCAGCCTGCAAGAGAGGGCATCGCTGTTACGCTACACCCCACATATCGCATCATAAGGACCACCTAGGAGCTCCTTATGAAGCCAACACCCAGGGGTCTGCAAAGGGTCCTGGGCCGCTGGACCTCAAGCCCCAGACGACCAGGAAAAAATAGCTGGGCCAGGCCTTGTCCCCAGGAGCCCACAGGCTAATGGGAGGGTAAAGAGGGGCCTCAGCAGGCTGAGCAGGGTAAGGAGCCCCAGAGCACAGTGTAGCGGGCTTTCGGTAGACAACGGAACTGCATCTGCCCACGTACACCAGGTGCCACAAGGGCCATTCTACTCATATTACCTTCAGTGGCTGCACAGTCAGACTCTGCGGGACAGCTCGCAGATTAGCCTGGATTAACCTGCTGCAGGTAGACGTCCGGGCTGAGGAAAGGAAAGAGGCATTGGGAATGGGCTGTTCAGGATGTGCACGATAGGTGCTAGTGGGCTTAGGGGCTGGCTGTGGTGTGCACCCTGAGAACACACAGAGAACCAGACTTCGCAGGATGAGCTCAGTCTGCAGTATGCCTGCTGGTGTCTGCTCACCAGTGTCCCTGGCCCTGCCTTGCCTGTGTGTGGCCAGCCAGCTGCTGGAGGTGACCAGCCCCTGGGGAACACCTGGCCTTGATCTGTGCTTGCTTCTCTTTAGTGGAGGAGAACTGGTGGTTAATCAGCAGTAGACACCTCTGCCAAGTGGCCTCTATGAGTTGGCCAGCACTGGGCGAGGACTGCATGTGGGGGTGGCCGCTGTCTACCTAGTGAACTGTAGACAACGCACCTCGGACCTCACCAGCAACTCCCCACACTGCTCTACCATTGGTGGTCAGGCCATCAAAGACCCTCTGGCTCAGTTATATAACTTCCATTCATTAAGCTGGTAGGGTGCAAAATCAGCAGTTCAAGCCCACCCGCCACTCTGCAGGAGAAAGCTGAGGCTGCCTGCTCCCGTAATGAGCACCAGCCTTGGAAAACACGAGGAGCCGTTCTAGCCTGGCCTGTGAGTTGGCACTGGCTTGAAGGTGGCAGTAGGTTTGGGCCCAGAGCACGAGTCAGCACCTGTCAGTGTGTCTCAGGCACCGTGGGAGAGTGTGCCAGGGGAGGGTGGAAGCCTGCCTGCCTGCGGGAGCAGTGCATTCTCACTGAGTCAGTAAGGACAGCAACTCCCAATGGCTGGGCACGTATGATGTGTCAAATCAGATGCCAAGTATTCCATGCCAACCCTGGTCCCAGACCCATCCTGAAGATGAGAACGCAGAGTTTGCGTATGGTCACAGACACTGAGGAAGTACTGAATTCGGCACTGGAACCCAGGCTGACTGCATCCAGAGCAGGGGCTCCATGCGTGTCCAGCAGCTGATTGCTGGGCAGTAGCTCCCCCAGACCCTTCTGCCCAGTCAGCCCTCCAAGGACGCAAACCACCAACCTTTCAGTTAACAGCCAGCCACTTGCTTAACTGCACCACCACTCAGCAACCCCCAGACCCCCTGCCCAGCAGCATCTTGCAAGAAAGGCCTGGCCATCAGCTTCCCAAAGCCCCCCGGCTTTGAAATCCCCACAGAGCACAGTTCTCCTCTGTGCACACGGGGAGCTATTGAGACAGATCAACTTGATGGCAACTGGTTTGGTGCTTTGCTTGATACGCTTGCTTACTATCGTGTGTGTGTGTGTGTGTGTGTGTGTGTGTGTGTGTGTGTGTGTGTGTGTGTTTTACAGCCTGGGCAGTTATCCTCCTCTCTGTACTGCCGGAGAGTGCTGCTTCAACCTAACCACCACCCCGGTGTGGGCGCACAGAGAGAAGGCCCGTCTGGGGCGTCCACTGCTACTGCAGGGTCCGGTTAGGGCTGAGAGCAGCTCAGAATGAAGGGACACAGCGTGGTGAGCACCGGTGGAGGCGGCGGCAAGTGGCACTCCTCTCCTGCCAGAACTGCCCCCTCCACAGGGTGTGCCCCAGTGGTCTGGACAGGGCCTCGGAGCACTGAGTGTCCTCTGTGATGGCCATTACCCGTCACAGCCAAACCCAAACCCGGTGCTGTCCAGCTGTTTCCCACCCAGAGCGACCCTGGGAGGCTGAGAAGAGTTGCTGCAAACTCCCACGGAGCAGACCGCCTCCTCTCTCTCCCAAGGAGCAGCAGCAGGTGATTCTGACCGGCCAGCCTTGCAGCTAATGGCCTGATATTTAACCTGCGCAAGCTGGCAGGTTACGAGGACATGAAGTCTACAGTCATGAATGGCCCAAGCAAGGATGTTTGAAGTACACAGGTTGTTGAGCCTTTAAATGAAGGCAGTTTAAATGGATGGTGTGGCCCAGAGCACTGGAGGGTACAGTTCACACCATGTAATTGCAATATTCAAATCTGAAACTTACCAGTGTGTCTGTGGGCTAAACCAAAGCTAATTTCAGTGCTCTCAAGTGACAAAGACACCCCCCAGACACTACGTTCTGTGGGTACAAAGAGCTTCACATTATTAATGCAACGTCCTAGACAAGTCTCAGGCAGGACCCCCAGTGGCCTGCTTCGCACCGAGGGCAAGGAGGCTGCCAAGTGCCCAAGAGCCCCCCGGGGCCGAGCTAGAGCAACTGCAAAGCTGGAACGTGGCTGGATCCCACGGCTCCTCGTCCAGTGAGGGAGCCTTGAGACCCCTGTTCTTCAGAGGGCCAGCCCCTCCTGCCAGGCCTCACTGCCCTGGGAATCCAACTGAAATAAATGCATGCCATCCAGGGAAGGTGGAAACATGAAGGCGCACAAGAATGAAAGGCCAGAAGCTTCGAGGAGGACCCAGCACAGGGAAGCAGTTTGGCTGCTAACCAAAAGTTCAGAGGTTCAAAGCCCACCAGCCACCCTACATGAGAAAAAGGAGGCAGGCTGCTTGCATAATGATCACAGCCTTGGAAACCCTATGGGGCAGCTCATTTCGGCCCATTTGGGTCACCAGGAGCGCCAACCAGCCAGAAGACCGTGAGTGTGGAACTAGAACCAGAAATGAGAATTCTACCACGGCCCCCTGTACCTCGCACTGCCCATGGGCACCATCCTAATAGCCATGCAAACATGCACATGCAAACATGGCCGACTGTGGAGGAGAACCACCTGCTGCTCTCTGCCTGGCCAGCTGGTGGGCAGGGCAGTCCCCCAGACGACTCCACACTGGGACCAATGGCTGAGGAGTGAACCGGAGGTGGCCAAGCCCGGACGAGCGAAAGGTAGGTGTCAGCAGGGGTCCAAGACGTGAAGAAAGGCTTGAAGGGAGCAGCTAGCAGAACCCAGGGGGCAGGTGCGAGTGGAGAGAGCCTGGAGAGGCACTGGGCTATCCCTTCTATGACCCACGGGACATGTAGTGAGTACACACCTGCAAGGTCCACCCTCAGGGTTTAGTGGGGAAGAGCTATCCCATTTCTAGTACATGTCGCCATCTAGTGGAGAAATCTGAAGACTCAGGGTTCACCTATCCACCTCAGCTCCAGAGACCCCCTCAGGACACCCGTGTTCCACTAACTAACCAAATCCTTACTCCCTCTCTCAAAAAAGACTCGTTTTCATTTCATCCAAAACACTTTCCAACAAAAAAACTCAAAGCCGAGACTCATTAGGTCTTGGAAACGGAGGCTGAGAATCTGATGGGCACTTTAGAAAGACTCCATGGGGCTGTAGGTCCTGGGTGCAGAGGCCTGCCGCATACCCTGGTGATGGCAGGGCTTGTCGGCTTGTGAAATACTGGTCAAGTTTTAAAGAAAGATACAAAATTACACATCAAGCAGAAACTCCATCTGACCAAGTGTCTGTCTCGCCAGGGGGCGAGGTGTGGGGAGAAAGAAACGAGTAAGGGAGACAGTCACGGTGGTCGCCAGGTAACTTTACTGGCAGCGGGCTTGAGTTTTTCCATCTGGGATGAGATTCCAAATCATTTCTCTCCTTACAGCTTTCTGGCTTCCCCAAATTCTTGTTATCGTATCCGTTACACCAGGGCTGGGGGACGTCAACAGTGGCTGGCGTCACATGTCCCAGCAAGCAGGCGAGGGGCGGGTTCACTAAACATTGGAGCAGCAGAGCCCGTGGAGGGGGCAAGGAATATCCAAAGGACCCTTGGCTCAGAAAAGGTTCCCGCCCCTGTGTTCTAAGAAGGCTACGACCAGCAAGCTTGTTCTCTGTCACACAAAGCAAAAGAATACTGTCTCTTTCACAACTCCTCTAAATTCACACATGAAATATTCATGAGCTGCATGACAAGGGAACATGGCCTGGAACTATGGATTAAATGTTGGGGATATTCACCTGCAACTAGTGTGCTGTCGTAATGATTCCAGCCTTGGGAACCCTCGAGGCCAGGCTCCCTCTGCCCTGCAGCGTGGCGGGAGTCAGCGTGGACAAGACGGCTGTGGGTTTACCAGTACACGGGTTAGCGTGTCGCTGAGTCTCTCTGCCCAAGAGAGCTTCGAATATTGTGAGGAAAATTAGGTAAGAGCTACATGTCGGCCGAGCCAAGGCACTGCCTGATCCTTAGGGATCGCTCTGTGGCAGACTTGCCC